CAAGGTACATGCCCTTAAATGGAATTGAACCCGGGACCCATCAGTCCGCAGTCCGACGCTCTATCCACTGAGCCAAACCGGTTAAGGCAAAAAATATATATATAAAAAAATAAAACCTGAGACAACTCTCCTGAGTCCCAGCTACAACCCAAATACAAGGGCCCACGCCAGGTCCCACAAAGCGCCCCAACTGCAGTGAAGTTCAGAGGGAGACCTTGTTGGGGTCACTTCCCCCGAATTAGACCCGTTTCTTGTGAGTCCCCACGGGAACCACAAACCCAGAGCTACTCTGTGAACCCGTCAGGTTCCTCTTCGAGAAACGAGAACCTGTGACAGATGAGTAATACAAAGGCCGGGCCTTCACAGAACGTTCCTTCTCTTATTTCTGTCCCTCTTTCTACTCGCCTGTCAATGTGCTCAGCCTTCTCCCTGGAAAGGAACTGTTCTGTCTCTGTCGGACTCAACCCTGTGCCGGGCCAGCTCAGCCAAGGGTTCGGTGAGCCTGACTGACAACAATTCCGTGTCAAGACTCAAGACAAAGACAAAGGTGAGTTCTCTCAAGAGCACGCCCCTGCCTTGTATCTTTGCTGTTTTTCCTCTGGCTCTAGGGACCCCATGAGACTTGCTTTCAGGGGAGCAGTGGGCAGCGGCAGACCATCCAGGCTCCCCCTCTGAACCTGTCTCCAAGGCCCCCTTTTTTCTGACTTCTCTGACCTGTTGCTTCTTCTGCCTTAGTCCCCTCTTTTGTTTCACTGTCCCAGCTTTAATAAACACACTCGCACAATCCCCTGGACTCAGGGTGTGACATCTGTCCTGCACCAAGCCCAGAGCCCACCCACCACAGGCAGGCGTGAGGCAGATCCGCTCAGGTTCGGTCCCCTTTCTGGTGACACCCCCACAGCCCAGAGCACAGTGGTCTGAAGCCTCCCACCCAGGCAGGGCAGACACTAAGCAGAGGGGAGAGGAGTGCGGGGTGCAGAGGGAACGGACCAGCAGGAGGAACCCCTCACCCCACCTGCTCTGTGCTGGGTCCCTCCCAGGCCACCCTATGCACCTGTGTAGGTGACCAGGCCTGCTCGGACCCTCGAGGAAGCTGGCACCCCAGGGGTGGCTGGGCTGTCTTTCCTCTCATGTGCCTCTCACACACAGGATGCCTCTGCACCCTGTCCTAAGCAAGGTTCAGGGTCACATGCCTTCCTCCCAGCTACCTCCTCAGGCTGGGCTAGGCCTGTGACCCCGAGAGGCAAGAGGAGGGCTGGGCCCCAGGCGAGAACCTGTCCAGGAGTCCAGGATTCTGTCCACCCCTGCGGGGCCTACCCCTACCCCAGCGGCATCACGACCAGCGCGTTCCTGCACCAGCTGTGCTGGCTGTCCTGGCCTTCCTGGTGGCCTCCAGCACGCTGCTCGCTCACTCTGGGGAGACACCACAAGGTGAGGCGTCTGAGGAGGGCCTGTGTCCTGAGAGTCTGTGAGCCTGGCAGAGGGAGCAAGGTCCTCGGGCACATCCTCACCCTCAGCCCCGAAGCTGGCGCAAGCTTTCCAAGAGCTCCTCGTCCCCAGGCACCCCCTCTGGCTGCCTGAATAAGGGGGAGGGATGGCCCATTAACAGGGAGACAGGCCCAGCCTCTGCTGAAACCCTCTGGTGGCCACGGCACCCAGGGCTGTTTATCCTGGCCCTGCCCACAGGCCTAGTCTGAGGTCAAAGGTTGGGTCCAGAGGCCTGAGAAGGGCCCCGGGATGCCAGCCCAGTTGGAATGGTCCTGACAAGTGGGAGGGGAGGAGACACAGGTCCAGCAGGGGCTGCAGGGGTGTGAGGGTGCGAGAGCCCAGGGGTCACCAGGAGACCCTGAGCCAAGGGAGCAAGGGGAGCTGAGGAAGGTGAAGGCAAGTTGTAGGGGCAGCTGCCAGCCTGGCTGCTCGCAGGACACGACTATGAACACAAGACTCACCCTGGCTTGGGGACAAAGGTTGGCACCCAAGGAGCGTGGCATGGGCTCACCCAGAGCCCCCCAAAACTCAGCTTCTTTCTCTTGAACCAGCAGGAAACCCCAGCCAGCTCTGCAAGGTGTGCCGCCCCGTCCCCCACCGCCTTGGCCTTCCCATGTGGGGAGAGACTGTGCAACGACTTCACGGCGGTGGGACCCTCACATTCGATGTAGCCAGAACAGAGATCGCTTCCCCAAACCCCCTCAGAGACTGTACAGAGACCCCTGCCCTGTGCCCCAGGCCTGCTGGTTTGTGCTGCCTCCTGGAGCAGGCCGCCGCCCTTCCCCAGGCAAGCACGTAAAGCATTTCCCCTCATCTGGGGTGGATTGCACCCCAGTGCCCCATCCATTTTACACTGTCCTGTATACTATATAACCCCCTGGCCCCTGTCACAGTAAGGACTGTTAACCTTGCCCCGGCCAGTGTGGCTCAGCTGGTTTCATAATGCTTCTAGAGAGCCGAAGCAGCGACCAGCTGGCTCTCTCCTGTTGCTCCTTCCACCCTAAAAGCAGTTCTAGTCCGGCTGGTGTGGCTCCATTGGTTGAGCGACGTCCAGTGCACCAAGAGCCCCTGGTTCAGTTTCCAGGCAGGGGGCATGCAGGAGGCAGCCAATCCA